GCGCGCAGAGACCCATGGCCCTGCCGCCTAGGAGCTGGACCTGCTGCTGGCTGCTTCCGGGGCACAGTGCGGTGTCAGAACAGGTAGGGACTAGCCTGCCTTAGCCGGGCAGCACCGCCGACGGGACTTTTAATTGCCTGGTTGGTGGTGCGGACCAGAGACGCCAGGACCCAGTACTGGGTTGCGACCCGCAGTTTGAAAACCACTGCCTTAAATCAACAGATCTGTGTGGATTCTGTGTCTTATATACTTATAGTAAAAACAAAAGTTATTAGCTTTATTCCTTTAAGCATTGCAGATACAACAGAACACTGAATTATTTTCTGGTTTACATACAGAATTGTTGACTAAGTTCCATATGTAGAATATCTTTATTAACAATGATTATACACAAGCTAAAAGATCCCAGACTGACTTTGCAAGACTGGGACTTAGAAAGGCCCCTCCAGTATCTTACAAAAACAACAAGGCGTCTGACTGCATCTGTAACTTTCACTCTATGCATCTGAAGAAGTGAGGTTTTTACCCATGAAAGCTTATGCCCAAATAAATCTGTTAGTCTTTAAGGTGCCACCAGACTCCTTGTTGTTTTTGTAGATACAGAGTAACACGGCTACCCCCTGATACTTGACCTCCAGTATCTTAGTAACCATAGCACCATCATGGGGCACTGGTGGTTTTAGTACGGAAACAACCAGACGCAGACCTAATAATCCAGTCCCCAATTTATAGCAGGAATGCCAATTCATCAATAGATATAGCCAGCAAAATTATTCCACAAATGCTTTTACATATCAGATGCAGTTGGAAGGAACACCTTAAAACCAAAGAAGTGTCCCCCTTAATAGTAAATGTTTGGATTTTCCCCATGGACAAAATGAAATTTGCTCAGCCAAAGTGTAATGAATTGCCTATGTTAAGGAGCTCTGAACATATTAGTTCAATCGATACTGAGAATCCCCAAAAGCTACTGGAATAAAATATTTTGCCTCTCAGCCACCAAGCATAAAATGATCAGTTGGCCTTAATGGCAACTGTTGGAACCAGAAAAGTACCGAGGTGGGAAAAACATAGGAAGAGGAAAGAAAATTACCTTCTTTTAAGCCCAAAATCCACATGGTATCCAATGCATCAATTAACGTAAGACCGAGTCCAAACCACTCGCTGTAGGATTTGGACAAAGGCTTCAGTTCATCATGTCCCCAGGCAAACTCTTTATAACCTTTCCATGCATGGCGGAATGCTTCTATCACAGCCATCTGACGTTCATTTATGGGCACTGTGAATAGAAATCAACCTTGCTGAAGAATGCTGAAGCTCAGAGTTATGCAGCCACATGAGATTCTTGTCCACAAACTCTACCCAAAATCAAGAGCCCTCATCTCTGCAACTAAAGATTACATTACACTGGCTTCAGTTACCTGAAGTTATTCCTTTGTAATAGGGTCTTTCCAACCCGCAGTAAGCGGTCAATATTTTTAACCAATGATTTAGTGAGTCAGCAATAGAAATCTCATTAACACAGAACTCCAAAAATAATATTTAGAGAAATACACACAAAAAACTATGTTAATGTTAAAAGAACATTATTAAGGTTGCCAAGTCAAGCATTTTTAACTTAAGATATCCCAGAATTAAGGTTGCCTGTACAAACTCAATTCAGTCCCCTTGTGAGTATGTTTTATGATACAGTTTTAATTACATGATCATATATTTTTACCACAAGATCCCTATCTCATTCCTCTACTGCCCAATTTAAAGTCCCTGCTCCAGACCATGGGGGTGCTAGAGCTTTTCAAAGAAAAGACCATCAGAATTTATCAGCAAAACAACTTATTTTCCCTAGCCTTGATCTCGAAAACAGCTGAACAGTTTTGGTTGAAATTTTCTAAAAACAATTCAGCCTGAGGTAGACACCCAGCATGAAAAATTTCAGCCCAAGTGGTTAAAGTCTGACAAAAAGTTATGAGCAACTGAAGAACGGGTCTTATTATGGGAATGTCTGGCAACCTTCAGAATAGGTGTTGCTATTAATCCCACCTATATTAAGGGCACTTAGACATCAGGATGCCAATGCACTGCATGCTATTACAGGTAAAGCCCAGGTTTTGCAATAAACAAGAACTCCCTCTGACTAGCTCATCAGAGAGCAGATTCCCAGATTCTTTGCTGCACTGGGGAGAGCAAATGAAGAGAGAGCTGCTGCAGCTGTCTATTCCCGGTAATCCTCAAAAGCAGCGTGTGATGAATTAAATGGAGGAAGTCACTTCCTTTCCCCCCCCGACCAGTCTCCAAGAGACCAGCAAACCACTGTTGAGAAAGTAAGTTGTCCTTTTCAAGCCATCTTTCTAAACAGCTATTTTTCTCAACAGGAGGGCACTTCTCCCTTTTGGGAGGTGGAGCAGAGAGAAAAATCAGGCCATGCCGCCTATTTTCAGTGACACCCCTATTTCTCAATTTCAGGGAGGGAGACAAAGGCAAGAGGCCACTTTAAATAAGGGGAGGAAGGTTGTGCATGAAGGCATGCACATACTGGGAAACGAGGAAAAAACGGTAGCAAGATATATTTAAATGGGAGGGACCAAGTGCTTCACCAAGCGAGGGGAATGTACATTTTGCAGAGCAGGGAAGGTGGTTGAGGGCAGGTGCCTATAGTGCTCCCCAACACAACGATGTCATCTCCTGGCAAGGCAAAGGAGAAGCCAATAACCAGGAGCCTCTCAAAAACATTCCCTGGTGTAGGGCCATCCTGTTTCCACTGCTGTCCACTTACACAGGAGGCATTGCTGCTGCAGAAAAAGACAGCACTTTCATTAAGGATAAGTAAGTATAGTTTAAATTATACTCAATTTAATAAATCACTCTGGGGCTTATGGTTTATTGTGGTTTGTTTTTGAATCTTTCATTTCATTCCCAATGTTTGCACGCAGTATCCAGGACAAGGTTAGGGTACAGATGCATGCACCCAATATATATCAGAAGCAAAACCACACACTTCGTTTGGGAGTTGCAAGCAGGCAGGGGTGAGCTGCACAGTGGCAGCAACTGTAGCACGCAGTCTGTCGATACATGATCTGGCAATCACAGCCATGTATGCTGTGCCATGGTAACAACTAGTACAGCGGATGCAATATTCGTGCATCAGTATTTTCATATTCTCAGTTCTCAGTATTATTTGTGAATCACCAGAAACCTTGAAAAAACATGCACCTGCAGGTTGTCACAGCAGATCAAGTATGCTGCAGGACTTAGATGTTCTAGATGAACAATGCATAATCTCTTTTCAATCAGTTCTTCCCCTTTCCCACAGGAAGCAACTCTATCTTAGCTAAAAATAGCAGATTTAATTAAAGGGATGGCATAACTTTGACTGTGAATGTGAACAGGGAGATATAAACATCTAAATCTCATGGTCAATAATGAGAAAGGTGTTGGTCTCTAGCCTATTACCTGGCTCTTTCTGATCTTCCACTTCCACAGATGATGGTTTTTCTGGTTCTTTTATTTTACTGGAAGGAGGTTCAGGGCTTTGGTCAGGTTCTATCACCGCTCCTCTCCAACTGCAAGTACAAGGTATTTCAATAATATTTAACTCGATTAAAATAGAGACAAGAGTTAAAATGAATTATCCTTATCTCTACTGTCAAACATTGTTCATTTCATATTTTCACAACAGCCTGATAAAGAGGGAACTAAATATCAGAGGGGTAGCCATGTTAGTCTGTAGCCACAAGAACAACGAGGAGTCCCGTGGCACCTTAAATACTAACAGATGTATTTGGACATAAGCTTTCGTGGGTTAAAAAAAACCAACCCACTTCTTCAGATGCATGGAGTGAAAATTACAGATGCAGGCATAAATATACCGACACATGAAGAGAA